GAAAGTCCACATTTTAAATACCGTCTATCTGCTCTCTTTCCTTCCAATCGGCGTCATTAGAAAAAGTAATTGCTGACATATTTTGCAGTGCGATTATATATTCAAGCTAACTCTTATGAAGCTCAAGTAATGACGGTACATAATATATGGCAATTAGCTCAGGTATTCAATATTATCATCAGTCATCTTCAATAGACTCCTTATCAGAAACCTCTGATGTATAATTTCCGTCTACATTTTCCTACGTCACTCTACTGCGTCTTTTCCTGCCTAAAAAGCTTCCACCAAGATGCAGAGCCTTCCCTTTGGGCTCCGAGAGTTTTACCTTCGTGCCAAAAGGTGTTTGCCTTGTAAATATTGTCTTTGCAGGCATTGTTGACGGGCCTTGCGAGTTCTGGTCCACATTTCCACCCATGGAAGCCCGTGTAAGATCTCGGTTTGAAGAAACCGATGCTATTCCATTGATTCGAGTTGGGGTCTGAATGTAGTTTGGTAGATCATCTACCCTTGGGATCTGTTCAACCTGCTCCCCATTTCCACGCAATCAGGAGCTCATGGATTGAGATTCCGAGCGAGGTGTCTCTGTAATAGATGGATTGGCATATATCGATGAAGAAGAATGCATCGTCTTCTTGACACAGATAACCGATAAATCGTGCCGACAATGAGAATTGGAGCGGATGGATTCGTCATCGCTGTCACTAAAGACAAATTTCCTCCAGACCTCCTCTGGGTCTGGGCTTGGGTCTGGTGTCGACTCTTTAACAGCAGTTGTCTTGCTCATGGACTCTCTAGTATTTATCACAGTTTGTGACTGTGGTGTGGCCTTGGTAGAACAGTTCAGCTCGACCGTGGATTCACCTTTGATGCCGTCATTCCTATATTTTGCTTGCTCTCTCGACTTGGTGTACTTCTGCTTCGCCAATTCATGGTGGTCATAAAGAATACGATGAGTAGAATCGTCTCCTTCACTATGTAAATCCCCAATCTCTTCATCTATTAGACTTATCACTTTCGATTGAGACAATGGAGCCCTTGCGGGGGAATGGGTTTCAACCCAGCTAAACTGTCTATATTCAGCGCTGATACCTGGACTTATAGAAATATTTGATTGGTAAAACTGGTCATCGTTATCATCTTGAGTGTGTCCTTCTCCGCTGAGATCTCCTATCCAGGTCTCCCAGATCTCATTATCCAGTATTTGCGAGTTAGGAACCACAGGTTTCTGTCTCCCTATTTGGACTGCTATGCTGTCAGCCAGTTCGGTGGGACTGGAATGTAACAGCGAGAATACTCTTAAGCTTTGTGGTTTGGGATGTTGCACTGATACCGGAGACGTTAAGAACCGAATATCGCCATTCGAATGTATTCCATCTTGGTCAAGCTCCGCTAGTAAATTATTTGAACCCCGCACAGAATTGCCTATAATAGAGAGACGCCTGCTAAAGAGACCTTTCTCCGCTTCTAATATGCTTCTCTTTGACATAGGGCGGCCCAAGTAAGGAGTGGCTAGCTTCTCCTCCAACGCATATGTGCCTTTTTCTGCGATTGCCGAGTCTCCAGTAGAACTCTTCCGATTATTCCACATATAAGGGGATCGCAACGGATCACCTTGGCTGTCTAATAACATAACATCCGAAGATGAGACATACGAACTCAGCAACTGCGTATGGGAAGAGCTACGTTGTCTCTGGCTATTGGCCGAGCTGGAGCCAATTCCGGTTTGGACGACTCGATCACCAATAGCAATCCTCACGTCGTGCTTCCTTTGCATTGGTAATCGGTTTAGTGTGTCCGTCTGGCAAGGAGAGTATGGCTTCGTGTTCGTCATAAATGCAGGCAATTGAATGTTTGACTTAGAGCTGTATCGTGCTCGGCGCCTATCTGTAACAGTCCGGCGTCTGCCAATCTGATCACCATATGTAGAAGGAAATTGAAAATTTACGGGCCGCTGCATCGCAATACCAACCCAGTCCTCCTTATTTAGTAGTCGCCTTCTTTTTTCGAATGTGGTCTCTTGGCATATATTGAGCGCCTTCTGTCCAGCCATTGAAGGATTACGCAGTCGTTTTCTATCCATTGGCTCTGGAGTTGCATCGTACAAGTCATCTTGTAGTGTGGGCACTGGTTCACTCTTGAGCTTAAACCTGTCATCTGTTGGCTGATATGAGTCGGATTTTCGAGAGTGCCGTATGGCTGATTTATTACGCATAGAAAACTTCGGCGACGGTTGTGGAAAGAAGGAGATACCTTTCTCACCTCTGTGCGTATCTTCTCGGGAAATAGATCTAGATACGTGACTGCGACCACTCTCGGCAGGATTTCCAAATACTATCCACCCTCGGGGATTTTTTCTCTGTTCGGACGTTCTATGGCCAGTCTTTGCTTTGGCAAAGTGTTCCCTCTGTCGAGCGGTCAAGTCCCCTTGCTTGCGGGTGCCTCTGAATAGTCGTCCTCCAGTCCAGTTCATCGGAAATACACCTGATCATTCTAAAACGTGATGTAAAGTAACAAAGAATCAAGAATTAACAAACAGTCATAGGGGGTATTAGTTAGTGGCTCGTTTGGCAGATGAGTCAACACGTTTCCATTCAGTAAGCCGGCCAAAGCATATCTGGAAAAAGTAAGAGCAGTACATGATCAATAAGGTAAGAGCTTCCCACGAAGCAACCTCACTTAAGATGGTTACCAGAATGAGCAAATTTCGTAATAGAAAATAGTTTCATCTTGAAAGAACTTCGTAGGAAATGTATGCCTACAAATATACCGTGTCGCTTTTCAAGAAAAGGAGTGTTTTCCTACACAGGGAGTTCTGACATGAGATGAAAAACGTACCAATTTTACAAAATTTAAATATCGAAAAACAAAATAGTACACTAGGGCCACGGCGCTTAATGTATACCATGTATATGAGACTTGATTCTGCTTTCTGCAAATTGAATCTTAAGTGCTTCTCTCATTGATGGACCTCGGTGGATATTCGTCGATGTGTGGTTGCATTTGGTACGTAGGAAAGTCTAGATTGAGAATTACATCAGTGTAACTTCCACACTTGTTGTTTTCAAGGGATATTGCTGTGCGCAAACATCTCGAAGATGAGCAGATTCATACCAATGTCTCCGAACCTATCGTACAATTATACTTAAGATTTGTGTTTTGCCTAGCTTCGCGTTCACTCACACTTTCACCAAAATCGAAGCGAATGTGATCTCCAAATCAGACATTAAAGGTGCAGAAATATCAGAATTTCTGCCTAAAAATTATATAAGCGCTGATACTCACTGTAGTAATACTTTCTAAGTGCAGTTCTCAAGTATCCATTACCAATCTGCCACTCTTTGTTCTGTCCAGTCCCCCGAACACAGCCGTACCTCCTGAACGCATAAGGTCACGGGCTAACTATATTTTTATGGCATCATTCTCATTACATACTCTTTCATGGTTTTGTTATCATGACTGAACTCAGGAACTTTACCATCTTTGACTGGGTAAATACAGTTCAGGTGCTGGCGAGTGCTGCACGAGGTGTCTTCATGTTATGTGATGCTTTGCGCACGCTTCTTATTCGAACTTCGTTCGCTTTTCATTATAGAGCGAATCTTCTCTACGTATACAGCGGTGTGCGAATGCTTCCTGAAGCCAACGGGGAGGTTCGGGGGTCAGCAGGCAGTAGATCTCTGAATGTGTCCCAATAAGTCCATCTTTGTTCGTGCCCACCATGAACTCTCATGGGTCTAAGAATGCTTCCCATGCTAGCCATCAGCCCATCCGACCAGGAAGAGCAAATGCAATTCTGAGCGAAAAAGTGAAGTCAATAAGCAATTCTCAGCTTTTGCAAATGGCATCCACACCCCGGCCGATAACAATCAATCGAGAGCCTTTCTTCTTTTTAGTGTGGCCGACTTGAAAATCGCGTTCATCCTGCGAAGGTTGTAAACAAGCTTTATCCATGCTTAATATGCATTGGCTGCTTGATAATCCATGCCGATTGTAGTATGCCAGCTCTTGTAGTAACGGATACGCCTAAAACAGCCAATTTTTTGATTGGAAAGTTTTGGCTTCCTGAATTTGATACAAGGAGGTGTAGGGCTGTAGTTATTTTCTGTGCATGCTAGATTTCGGTAATAATCTTGCGAATACTGAATATAAGACATCTTCAGCGTGCTAGCCTGGCCTTCAAATGAATTTTCTGTATTGCTGATTGCATCATCGTTTCTTGCTGCTTCATCTAGCATGGTGCCTACCTTTTCCCTGACTAACACTACTAAAAATCAAAGCATTTTACTTTAATGACGCGGCCAATCCCGTTCTTAAGCCTGTATATGAGCAGAAGGATGTTTTTTATTGAATATGGTGACTGATCTCAATATAGGCAAAGCTTGAGCTTGAGCTTGATCGGGAAAGATACACATAATTGCCAGGTGCAAGGGAACCATAACTTGGCGATCAATGTAGAGAAGACTATCTTTGACTGCAGACACAAAAGTATTATCTATATTCGTTTCATCTTTCTCTTTAATGCATCAAATCTTACCGCACATTGAGAATATAGTTCTGAGAATCATTAGTTGCCATCAAAGACGACGAAATGCCAAAGTTGATGCTTAGAGGAAGTTTTAAGGACGGTGCTTACTCATATCTAATTGTGCATGGCTGTGAACTGGACAATTGTTGCTAGGAAAAAGTCTTACAGATTTGCCCTATGATCCTGCATGAACTGCCTGCCTAACTCTGATATAATTTATTACCAATAATAAGCGTCCCATTCTGTTTATTCTGCGCACGAATGGGGGCAATATTTGTTGATATCTCACCTTCACAAGGCTCAATATTTGGTAGTGAAATGTCTATGCGAAGAACGATGGAGGAGCAACAGCGTGAGTAGTGGTGGCAGGGGTGGTTGGTAGTTGATGTTACCCCACATATCGACGGAGCTTACTCGCGCCTATAATGAGGTTAAGAGATATAATAATAGTCCGACGGGCACAAACAGAACACACGGTGGTGTGGTGTAATGGTAGCACGTGACGTTGTGGAGGTTGGTATTCCAGTATGAATCTCAACGAGACAGGTCCGTTTCAATCTGGGTTCGATTCCCAGCACCGCCAAATTTGGCTTGAAGTGTAGGTGGTTAAATTCCACCAAGTTGACTACTCTTTTTTTTTTTTTTTTTTTTCGCTCGCTTCTATTTTCTGTTTTTGTGTTTCGCTTGGTGAGGTTTGTACCAAAAACTGCAAACTTAAAATTTGGTCGTAGCTTTTGGGGCATAAAGCAGAGCAGTTTTATCAAAGTTATCGGTATATTCTTGATTATGATACCTTTTATATTCCCTTCTCTACCAGTGTAGAAGGTGTAGATTTATCTTTATCTTCGGGAATACCTCAAGCCTTCCAATCCAACAAGAGATGATCTTTCTATATCACGTGTAGTATACTGGATCTCCTTTTCGTGCCTGCATTTCAAAGATGTCGCTATTCGCGTGTCTGCGAACTGATTTAATCTATAGAAATAGTTTTAATATGCTCTAAGCTCAAGGCTCGCTCCCATTTATGGACTTCGAGGCAGGATCGACGAAATTGTTTTGGTGGCATCTGTAGGTGGATGACGCACCAGCCACACCCCCCCCCCCCCCCCCCCCCCAAAAAAAACGTCACCAATGCTCAAAGGGCAGCATCTATTAAAAAAAAACCTCCAATGGGAAGTAGCTGAGAGCTATCTTGACAAATAGCATTACACAGATGCTCGCAAGGGAATATCAGGCCACACATTCAGAGATAATTAACTGTGGAGGGTGATCACGGTCAAACACCCAGCCTCGTTAGGAGCTCTCTCCGGCTCTGACGTCAACGTCAGAGTTGTGAATCCTTCCATATAGTCCTTCATCATCTTAATCTTTTCAACTTAATTTTCAATTCTTTTCGAGCTCATATCCGCACAAAGCCTTCGAGCAGCAATACTAAACCTTTCATGAAACGTTAGTGAAGTTATCAACTTGTTTAAATAATACAGCACCAACATGGCAACCTCCAACCCAAACCAATATGATTCAGAGCGTGGGCTTGCTTTGCAAAAGTACCTCCTACTACATTCTCAACATAATGCGCTCCAGAAGCATCTTTCTCAAATCACCCCATCGATGCCAACAACAACTTCTCCATTTGGCACCCAGCATGCCTCACACCAACAGTCTATGTCAATCTCGACCTCACCATCTGATGATGGTTACCTCTCATCATCCCCACCCACTCATAGTCGCTTTCATCAAAGAACTGGTAGTACCGACATGAGCCCCTCAAGACCTAAGATTGTCAAACGACGATTTTCTTTGCCAGACATAATGGAACAGAGCATCGTGGATGAGGTTGCTCTGGAGGAATTGAAGTTGAAGAATGTTAACCAACAAATAAAAGGAACTTTGACCGAACTGCTCAACTGCCAAAGTGTACGAAAAGATGACAGATATCGGAAATGGGTCCAAACAAGACTGATGGATGCGGAGAGGGAATTAAAGGGCACAAGAAGTCGCAGTGGTGACCAACGGAGGATGAGTGTGGAGCTGGGAATGTTCTGATCTGGAGTAGAGTGTATTATAGAGAGTGCCGCTGGGCTCTCCGCAGCATGCTCAAGTGCTGACATGTGTTGCATTGGACTGTCGAAGTTGTTTGATGATCAGATTTGGGAGTTGATTTCGTTGTCATTTATTAGATACCCGACAGTTCTTGAACAGGTTAACATTCCTTTTATTCAAGACTCGCGCTGTATAATCAAGCCCTTTGTTTTTGTGTATAATAATGATATTCACGTAGACGATCCCCTGACCTGTGTCTATCATTGACAGATATAATCGAACAGCAGTTGAAGCAGCAGAGTAAAGCGAAAAATATCAGCATTATGTGGGAACTTTGTATTTGCATTTACGAAAGACATTTCATTTAACCTCCTAACTCAATATAAGGTTTCAACGTATACACAACCCTCCAACATTGGTCGAAGACACAATAGCCGTCAAGTGGCCTCCACCACCCGCCTGAGAACGCGCAATGTTCTTCGAATACGTGCTCATCCATAGCAATATTCGAAACGCTTTGCTAACGGAATTGAGTTTATGTTCTTCAAATCCAAACATTTCTAGAAGCTTGAGGATTGAAACATCCTTGCCAAGGAGGCTCTTAGCCCTCCACATGCCTGAGGAGGAATGAGGCTAGAAGCGGGCACAGCCTGAAGCACCTAATGTTTTGAACTATGGTCTTTGATACGCGTGACGGCTTCACAGATTGGTAAATCTCCATTCAGGGGGTTTGAAAGCTATTATCTGAGGTAGGTCTAGTAGTATAATAGTAGGTTACTTTCTTATTATGTATTATTTATCTTTTCTTTTAAAACCCGCATCAGCTGGATATCAAGGGCATACATCACAATGGCAGTCAGCAAGAACGAGGAGAAGATAGCTGAACAGCACAAGAATCAGTGGTTTGGCTTCATCAAGGTGGGCCTCCTGGAGCTGCTAGAAAGAAGAATAGTAACTAACATTGAGTAGTCAATCGCGACGTTCAGAGGAGACCTCGCGTCCATAACAGCGCCACCCTTTCTACTATCCCCTCAGTCTATGGTCGAATTCTCTGCATATTGGGCAGAACACCCATCAATCTTCATCGCCCCTGCTAAAGAATCGGAGCCAGAGAAACGCGCGCTCCTAGTACTCAGATGGTTCCTCAGCACCTTGAAACAACAGCATAATAGCAAGGATGAGAGTGGCAAGAGGAAGAAGATGAAGCCACTGAATCCATTTCTTGGGGAATTATTTCTTGGAAAGTGGGAGGACGACGCTGGTATAACGAACTTGGTTACTGAGCAAGTTAGCCATCATCCACCAGCGACGGCCTTTAATCTTTGGAACGAGGAACACGGCATAAGAGTATGTTTGCTTGAACCTTGCGAATTTGATATTGTATCTGATATTTGATAGTTGCGTGGGCACGTTGCTCCTAATGTCTACTTCTCCGGCACCGTCCACATTGACAGGAAAGGGTACAGCATCCTTCACATCGACAAGTACAATGAAGATTACCTCATAAATATGCCAAAAATACACGTGGAGGGTCTCATGACTGGATCCCTCGCTCCTGAACTAAGTGGGAGCTCATATATCCGCAGTTCTTCTGGCTACACGGCGAAGATAGACTATACCTCCAAAGGGTGGCTTGGTGGTAAGCGAAACGGTTTCATTGCGAATCTGTTCCACGATAGCGACAAGAAAAAATCTTTATATACTCTGGAAGGACAATGGAGCGATTCTTGGACGTGCAAGAATAATGGGGCACTAAACTCGACGGAAAGATTCGATACCAATGCTTTGCCTCGAACACCTTTGCAGGTAGCACCTCTTTCAGAACAACATCCTTTAGAGTCAAGGCGCGCGTGGCAGTATGTTTCACAAGCTATACATAAAGGAGATGTATTTGCTGTCAGTTATGAGAAGTCGAAAATTGAGAATGAGCAAAGAGCCATGCGAGCGCGAGAAAAAAGAGAAGAGGCAGAATTTTCCCGACGCTACTTCTCGAAAGCGAATGAGGATATAACAGCCGATAAACTGGCAACGGAAATCCCAGGGACCTCATTGAAAGCAGAGATGTGTGGTAATGAAGGGATCTGGTTGTGGGATGAGGACAAATATAAGACGATACAGGCCGAGAGGTTGGGTTCGCATGGCGTTAAAAGCCCAACGAGGATGAGATTCGATTCTGGAATTGGGGGTATTCTGCTCGATCCGACTGAAGCTTAGAGAATGATCTACAACATGCATAATATCGGAGTAGAAGGTGTATAGGTAGACTCGACTGGATCGAGGAAATTATGCCTTGATGAGCAGTTCTATACATGTTAGACACTAGATGCACGACTTACGAATACTACTTAATATTATCTATCTATCTATCTATATCAATTTGCTTGGTACGAAGAACCAGATGTGTTATGCTCGGCTAAAATAACACCAAGCGAAGTTTCCCTGTCTTCATTGAATTCTTAGAGGAAGTTCCTCTAATCCATTCGCTATCATCAAGCGACAGGCAGTGTCATCGGACTTTCTCTCTTGCTGTATAAATACCTGTTAGATGGCGCTCCTAACATTAACTATTCAGGAGTAGTCCTAGGAAGTCCACATATAGTTGACTTGATTTCTCAGAAAGTGTCCTGGTGAGGGTACATTATTAACCATCACTCGGAACACTCTAAGGTGTAAATTATCCGTATTTGAGCTTCATATGCTAAATCACCAAAGCTCGGCTCCAGCTCCTGTTTTCCAACCGCACAAAAAGCACCAGTCTACTTGACAACTTTAAGTCGAGTCAAGGGAAGATAACTCAAAGCGAAAGAACATGATTCGGAACATACCATTGAGATACAAAGGTATGAAAGATATTCTGGTTGTTAAGGGGAGACAGCTCTTCCAGCAGCAAGGGTAGAGGCACCAATTATTAGAACTATTCCAGCAATACGCCTTCTATGGATACCAAATTTTGACAGAAACATACTCCTCTTTGTTTTAGCCGCCAATAAATTCAAAATGAATGTTCATGAGCACAAGATTCGAACCTCGTTGAAGAAGCTAGAACACCTCGTAGTTCTAATCAAAAACACGAATAGTCGTATTGGCTAGATTGGCGCCATTAACCGCGTTCCTTCCCGCAGCTTCTCGAAAGACACTAAGCAAGGCCTTGCCAACATCTCAACCGACGACTTAAGAGAGGTCATGAAAGTTCTTCATGATCAGGGCCTAATATCGCAAATCAAGCTTTCGATAAAAACATTGCGTTCTTTTGCAGAGTTCCAGCCACTAAAGTAACACGCAGGCACATGGGGATGATGCAAGTTTCCTTGGCATGCAGCAATTCCTTTATGGACATTTCGCTGACTCCACAAGGCTGAACATTCGCGATGTATGACATCATAGGACCTTTGATTGAGAAAAGTGGTAGCTAGATGGCTTAGAGCGGTTATAAAAGCACATCTTCCTCCCTTATTATAGTATTCAAGAAAATATCGACTTTACAACCTCATAGGAAACTGAAATTATTACACATAATCGACTCAAAGCTCAAATACACAC